AAATGCGTCATTATATGCTCTCGATCTTCAGCAGTTGATTACATAAGCAACTATAATATGAGTCGTCAACTGATAGAACATTTCAATTATTGTATTTAGGTATAAAATAAAATAATTAATCTACTTTGTAATATAGTAAAAAGTAATATGACATGTATATAGCTTTCTAAACACACTGATGTAATTATTACAAGTAGATGAAATGCTTTTTACAATAATTGTAAACTATTTGTATAGATAGTCTAAGTATGATATACATATTATATACTTATAGTATACTTTTATTAAGATAATAATTATATAACAAGTGCTCTTACACTATTATATACATTAATATACCTTTTACATAAATTATAAGGCAACAATAGTTATTGTTACATTATTATATTGTAAATATTACCCTTTCTTTGAAATTATAATAAAAATGTAATGCAAGCATAATACTTTAGGCTATTATACAAAGTTAGTATAATACTTTTAATAGATTGTATTCATCCATAACACTTACTTAGCCTTTATATACATTAACATGTCTTATACAAACTTTACAATTGATTTGCAAGTCTTGTAATTACTTTACAATATATATACAATACTTATGTTACTTTACAAAGTCTACAATATATTATAAGAAATGTGACTTTTTCCTGATGACATGTACCTTTCATCCACACATGATTACACGTTGCAACATGGATCACCCTTGTCCAACAGCTTTGTCCCTCTCCTGTTTTTATCATGACCATTTCGAAAGGTTTGTCTGTTAGGATAAGGTATTGCAGGAGGGGGAATGCAAGTCTTGCAAAGTTCATAAGAAAGCATCCTTCACATGCAATATTACTCGACTCGAGTTAGGGTGAGCAGGATACCTTACTATGTATCAATGGAGATTGATTATTGTATAGTGCAAAGATACTACTATCTTGATTTCCATTTCTGTATACTTTTAAAGCATAATATATATATACAGACACAATCATATGTTTCATCAGGCTTGTAACCAGGCTAGTAGGTAAAAAATAAATTAAGATTTTATAACTTCTTTACTATCAATACTGGAGCAATTCTCAATACAAGGGTAAGGAATCTGAGGATGTAGTGTTTCTATTGGAAGCATAGCTTGTCTCAAACTAATGCTTAAACTTTAAAATTAGTTCTATAAAAATAGTCGAACTAATGCTAATAGCTGTAACTCACAAAGAAGAAAGCATTAAACACTGTGCTAAGATTAGAAAATGTATTCAAATTCTTATCTTACAACCATATTGGTGTAGTGTTCCATTCTATAAGAGTACTACTAGTACACCTTTCTACTTAGTAGGCAGAGCATTAACCATAAGACATTGGTTTGCTATAATGTGAAACAGGACCTGCTAGCATTAATAATAATGAGTATACTAATGTTAAGTGAAACACTAATAGATAGGAAAGAAATTTGCATATCAAAGTTTTGATTTACTGAACAAGAGATTACATTTCATACTAATGAAAGACTGCTTGACTATTACTCTGAGAATCATTAGCAGTAGCATACTCTCCCTGCAAAGT